GAACAACACAATCAAGCACACAAGCTGGCAGTCAAAGTAATACAACCCAAGCTGCAGGTACATCAACTACCACAACCCAAACTCCAAGGGCCCCATCTTCCATGTGTGCTGAAACATTAAAGATAAGAAGGAACACCACCAATAGTAAGAGGTAGAGGAACTGTAGGAAGTGGTGGTAGGGAAAGAAGTGGAGGAGCTGGTAGGGGAAGAGGTGGAAGATCAGTTGTTGCTTCTGTTACATCTGGTGCATCTATTTCTGCTACTGCCAGATTACTTGCTGCTTCTGTTGGAAAGAAAAGAACCAGAAATTCTGGGGTTGGTTTGTACACAGACACACAAACAAGAACTAGTATCCTTAATATGAGTGTGAGAAGTATTATTCGGTATTAATTAACTGTATTTTCGATCCTTATGCTTATGCATGATTCATTACTAACTAAGTATATTTTCTAGCCTCATAGCCCAAGTGAAAGATTTATTTCAACTGGTGCAAACTTGATGAATGTTGCACAAACTAATGTAGATCTTGGATTTAGACCAAATGGTCTCAAATGGAAAGAGAATATAGTTGTGACGGGGAATCAACTTCAAAAGCAAAGGGATGCTGCAGTTTCCAACAAAAAGATGAAAGTTGGAACCTCTACTTCATCTACACCAGTTGACTCTTATCAAAATCAAATTTAGGAAGAAGTTTCTTGTATTTTGTTGGTCATGTGTATGAACCATATTTTGTGAAGTATTTTGAACCTACTTATATTGGTCATTTGGTCATATGTATGAACCTTACTTTCGTATGGGATGTATATGAACCTGTTTTTTGTTAGTTCAGTTTTTCAGATTATTCAACCTTTGGTATTATGATATTGGCAGTATAGTTTTTTGCTATTATGAGATCGGATTAGTCCACCTTTGCTTTAGTAGTCTAATTTTTTTTTGCAGAAACTAAAACACATTTGATCATTAAAAACTTCATCATACACATTGTAAATTTCAACTGTATTGAATAGGCAACATTGGCCATAAATCAAAAACAATATTGCAGTAAAATAAATGGGGTTACATGCCCATATACATATACCATATACCTAAATAATAGAAGATTCCCTCAAAAATCAAGTCAGAGTTACAATTACAAGCAGCCACACCAAAATCCTCTGTTTCTTCATCAATTTCGACTTTTCTTCTTCATGATTTTTTTTACCCTCTTTAATAATCCATTCATGACTTTGGTATAGTGTTCGGACAATTCAACATCATACCAACGGAAAAAATTGCATCTACCATCGGCGGCTTTTCCAAATCTACAACCATAGAATCTTCTATTCGGATTAAATGGTGATCACGAAAGTTTTAAAGGAGCAATTTGGCCACATTTGCATATAGAAGAAGTAGAGAGAGAGAAAAGAAAAGAAATTTTGCTGCTTTGCTAGGGAGGAAGAAGATATACGCAGCTAGAGAGATGAAAGAAGTGAAATAAATTTTTAGGGTTGGGTTTGGGAATTTAAATTAGGACTTCATTAAGTTTTTTTTTTTGGAATTTCACAAAAAATCCGCTACATTACCGTTGGGATTACTTACACACGTGCGAATCCGGAGGTGTAAATACGCGACGGGGGCTGGTGAGGTCGGGTGTTTATTGAGTTCACTTTTTAGTCACGTGAAACGTTTAAATGAAAAAGGCCTCAGTTGAGGTGTTCAAATGATCGTTGGGGACAACTTAAAGGGGCGCTTTATGTATTTCGCCATTAGTAAAATTAACTCCACATCTACATTTAATCCGAGCTTTTCTCATTTTCCATAATTCCATTACCACACTCTTGAATCATTAACTATTATTTCTATTGATTATTTAACTTAGATTGTTTATTTACGAAATTATCGATTCAAAGTGGACCCTAAATCATCAAATTTTATACTGATTAGTCACAATATTTTGCCAAAATACACTCAATACTCAGATTTAAGGTTACTGTTCATAGGTCAGCATTTAAGAAATAAAGCCCCAATTAATCAAGTTAATTCAAACTGGTTAAACTTCAAGTAATTGAAACCTTATCCATTAGATCTGGTGCAAGAAGTTATGTTGTCTTTGGAAAATTGTTTATCTTTATAAAAAGAAATTAGTGAATATGTTCGCGCTTCGCGCAATTGTAAAATGCTTGTTGAATTTATGGTTTAATTTCTTTCTGATATCTGTATATTAAAAATAATTAAAATATACTTTGTGTAAACAAAAAGTCACCTTTAATTTTTCTTTCAAAAGCTAACATGGGCATACAAGATTACATTTCAATCCATTGCATTCTGCATAAAATGTAAACCAACTTAAAGAATACACGAGAAACAAAAATTGTAGTCTGCATCTCACAGGTCCAAATAAAAAATACATAATCAACCTCACAACTACAATCCCTGGCTAAAAATTTATTTTAAACAAAGAAGTGAGTATTAAAAGAAGTAATGTCAGACCTCTCTATAATATCGATATATAACAATAATTCATTATAAAAGTCAAGTTATTTATAGAATTAATTTTCATGCTATGATATAATATATATTCTATATAATATCACTTCGCTATAATAGCCAAAAATATTCGGAACAAATAAAGATGTTATAGAGAGGTTGGACTATAAAACGAAAGTCATCCGAAAAAGAGTACTTATAGTTCAATTAAAGATAAATGAGCAAGTTAAAGAGATTTATATTAGAGTACTGTGGCAAACTTGAAATACAAAACTACTTGCAGATAATTGAAATAGGAATAGATCTTTAAAATTTTAGTTGGTATTCAAACTGCGCTAAACTCCTAGTAAAAGTAAATTGAATACACCAATTTCCAAGTATGGCCTACATTTTTCCTAAGCAAGTAGCTCAAAAGCCATGGAAAAAAACAAAAGACCAAATCCAAGTAGGAGTCACTTTAAACAGAAGATACTCCCAACTTGAAAGTTGCTAAATAATTTATCCTTATAAATCATAGAAATAAATTGAGCAAGCAAAATATCTATGCTTTTTTTTTTGGGATCAAAATTTAGAGCCAACCGCACAGACTCCTCCTTCCCTACAACAACTGGCCCCTATCATTCGATCAAAATAATTTCTTTGACCATTGTTAAGGGGGAGTTGGAGAACATACTATCAATCTGCTGCTATGATTAACGAAGAATATGTCTCTTTATATAGAGGAAATGTTATCCTAACCCTTAATATTCTTCTATACTTTCATCCGTTTTTTGGAAAATTAAGGACTTTAAATACGTACTAAAATATATCAATAATTTTATCAGTTTCTTGGCAAATTAAGGAATTCAAAAAGAACTAATATAATTAGAGATCTTTGGGCAACATCAGAGGGGGGAGAAAATTAAGAAGCAAAATTGACAAAAGAAAAAAAAGGAAAAAAGAGATAAATACAATTGCTCGACATAGAAAGATGTCACATATTCTCAACTTTATATTTATATATAGATATAGATATAGATTATAGATATTAATCACCCTAAACATATCAATATAATACCAAAAGGAATCTTGACCAACGCCCGGTGAACTAAATACATACGCCTCTTACTGTTGCCAAACTATAGGATCAAGTTTGTTATGAATTGAATTGCAAGGAAAAAGAACAAAAAAGTCAACTAAAACGATCAAAGGACTCCAAGTGTTCCTAACCAAAAACAGTTTCTAAAAAACAAAAGAAACCCAAAAAAAAAAAGGGGAAGAGAAGAACAAGATTGCCACAAACACCCAAAAGAAAAGAAGTGCAAAGTGGCATAAGATCTAGACCCTCTAATCAACCAATCAACGTCAAAGGAATATTTCCGGATTTTTAAGAGTGTTTTGTTCAGATTTTATATTTACAATAAAAAGTGATTAAATTTCAATTACTTTTGAAACTATGATTATTTTTCAATTACGAATAGTATATTTAGATATTTTTGAATTTCACCCTAAACCTAAACCATTGGGGATATTAAGCCCAACTTTGTTGGTCTCTCACTTGTCAAAGGGCTAAATGAGTAGTAGACTACTTTAATTTCGATACATATGGCCCAAGATTGAACTGGAGATCGAGGTTGCTCCATTAACTGTTTTATGTCATTGTTGCAAATAATGGAATCAAGCATTTATTATGCACTACTTCATCGCTAAGTTTCATTTGTTTTCCTCTCACTTGTCAATGGCTAAATGAGTAGTGGACTACTTTGATGTAATATTTGAATGTTTAAATTTTAATTTAAAATGAAAGTATGGTGCATTTAGCTTGCAAACTTCGATATATTAACTTTGGATACAAAAATAAAAACAAAACTGAGACTGAGAGAGTATCAATTTCGGACATTTCATATAACTATACCTTTATAAAAATAATTTAGCTATTAAGCTATGTGAAAGATACTTAACCGAGTCTATACATAGCTATGAAGGCACCTCTGTCATCTTTCATTAATTAATAATATTAACTCCATATCCACATTTGATGTGAGCTTTTCTCATTTTCCATTACAAACACTCTTGAATCCTTAACTATTGTTATGTTGATTGTTTGACTTGAATTGTTTATTTATGAAAAATTATTGATTCGAAGTGGACCCTAATTTATCGAATTTTATACTGTTGAGTCACTATGTTTTGTAAAAATACACTCAATATTCAGGTTTAAGGTTGTTGTTCATAGGTCAACATTTAGGAAAAAAACACCCCAATAAATCAAGTTTTTTCAGACTAATTAAATTTCAAGTAATCGAAACCTTATCCATTAGCTCTAGTGCAAGAAGTTATGTTGTCTTTGGCAAATTATTTATTTTTATAAAAAAAGAATATTAGTCACCCTAAACATATTAATATAATACCAAAAGGAATCTTGACCAACGCCTAGTAAACTAAATACATACGCCTCTTACTGTTGCCAAACTTTAGGATCAAGTTTGTTTTGAATTGAATTGTAAGGAAGGGAACAATAAAGTCAACTAAAACGAGATAAATGACTCCAAGTGTTCCTAACCAAAAACAGTTTCTAAAAAAAAACAAGAAGAAGAAGAGAAGAACAAGATTGCCACAAACACCCAAAAAGAAAAGAAAAGTGCCAAGTGGCATAAGATCTAGACACTTAAATCCAGACCAATCAACGTCAAAGTTATTGCCACGTCAGAAATTGTCCATAACAAGCAACGTCCTCACCGACTCCACAAATTTAACGTGCACATCCCCACACTTTATTCCGCCTTCCTCCACTCACAGATCCAAAAGACTCGATCGTAAATATCAATTTCACACAATATTCCCCACTTTCCCAGCACCTTTTTTCAACTGCATTTCATTTTCCGATCACCGGACGAGACATTTCTCCACCCTAATTTCCTCCTACTACGGCGGAACGCGGCGGTCGGTGGATGGCAAGAACCAATAAATATACCTCCCTTAACTTCAACGACATCTACGAAAAGAAAACCACTAGCAGCAGCTCCGCCACCTCCGGTAGACCGCACTCTTCTTCATCATCTTCTTTTAATGGTCCCAATAAGACTATTATCTCCAACTCACGTATCCATGGCCACATGCTTGTCCTGAGCCGGCCCACTCCCAAGCCCATCTCCATTCCGCAACCCCAGCCTCAGCCTCTTCCGATCCAGCTACAGCCCAAGTTACAAAGCCCACCGGATCAAACCCGAGCTGAATCGGACTCCATTTCGCTTCGTCCACAGGGTCGTACTGGGTCGGGGCCGACTGCTACACTTTCTTCGTCTCCTGTGAACCCGCCTTCACCTTTGCAATCGCCTTTGCCAAAGTCGAACCGGTTCGTGCCGCCACATCTTAGACCGGGATTTGTGGGCCGGGAGGAGAAACCGGTCCCGGATGGTCAGGGATTGAGAGCTAAACAGGAGGTTGGGCCTGGGCCGCATCGTCAGGGAGCACATCTTGGGTCGTCACCTAATCGGTTCGGAGAGAACGGTAGGCCCAAATCGGGAGGTGGGTATGAACGAATGAGGAGAGGATTTGGTGAGGCTGATGCGGTGGACTTCATGAACCGGCCTGGTTCTAGCGGGGCTCGGCCCAGCTCTAGTGGATGATGTCATCATGGTAAGATGCCTCATTTTCTACATCTCTCGTATTCATGTGGATTTAAGTTATATGCACGGACGATGTAATCCATTTTTAATTTTTATACTGATAGTGTAATTTAATTTATCAATCAATGTTTATTAAATATAGGTACTTGAAATTACCTTTTAAATGATCTCATATTGCAACTTAAACTCCATATTCATATTTACTTAAGGGCCTGGTCGTTTAGCTTTTCCGTTTATATGCTCGTAGGAATTTCTCTAGAAATGTGGTACTAATGACTGAACTTTGCTTCCTTATCCAAAAAAAATAAAAATAATAAAGTAAAAATCTTCTCAAAATGAATGAACTTTGCTTTCTTTTTGTCGACTATGCTTGAAATTTCCATGTTTTTGGTGCTAGTTTCCTTTTGGAGTTCCCTTGGATTTACGTTTAAAATTTGTTTCATAAGTGTGTGATTTTGTTTATTATGAGCGTTGTGACTAGCTAGAGCTGCCCAGTTGAAATGAACTTTTGTGTGATGAATGGTGCTGCTTTCCTAATCATTTGAGATTGTTTGGTGAAAAGAGTATCTAAGCTTGGTTTGTTTTGTGCCTATGTTTGGAGTTATCTTTGTTATTGCCTTATTGGTTGGCAAGTACCAGTTCCATGCTCGTAAGACCATGCATGTCTTGTTGCATGCGAATTCAGGCCTTTGTCATGTTCTTGAGATGCTTGTAATAATATTTTTTCGAGTTATATTCTGCTCAGTGCTCATGTACAACTTCCGTCTTATGACAGATCTATTCTTGACGAGTGGCTGTCATTTTATCATCGCCTATTTTTGAGCAACATGCAAAATATATTCTTTTTTACTATTTTTTAGCAGCATGCGAAATATTACTAGTGTAAATTCACCAGCCTCAATTGNGATTTTTTCGAGTTAATTCTGCTCATGTACATCTTCTCTCTTATGCCCGATCCATTCTTGAGCATTGAGTTGATCTATAATTCCAGGCTTCCAGCCATATCATTTATTACTCATGTAGTTTGACCATTCTCCCAGAAGGTGAAGAGTACTTGACGAGTGGCTGTCATTTTATCATCGCCTGTTTTTTGAGCAGCATGCAAAACATATTCTTTTTTACTATTTTTGAGCAGCATGCAAAATATATTCTTTTTTATTATGTTTGGTTGGAGAGAAGCACAACCATATAATTGTTAACAAGGCCGTTTACTTTTTCATCACAATTTTCATAAAAGCGTGCAGGTTCAATTAGATTGTTGTTGGTTTATGTGGTGCCTGATACCAAACTCTAGTCTGTAAATGTAAAAGAAGATTTTTTTTTTCTGCAATAGGAGGAATGCTAGCCGCTGAACAAGCTGAAATGTTCTCTGTAGAACGTTTTGTACAGTGTAATACAAACCATTGAGGTTGCTCATCTTCCTGCATTTTTTTGTGTGTGATTTGGGGGA